GGGAGACAGATAACAGAAATCCAATTAAGCACCATTTGCCAACCACACCCAAGGACAGGCCAATTAAGAGAATAAATCTCATTTTGGTCCATCAGCATAAAGCCAAGGAATATTTTCATTGATCCTCCCCTAAGACCTCTCCTAAATCTCAGCCTTTAAAACCCCGAAACCGAAGTTCCAAGCGCGCGGTCCAGGGAGCACGCCTGTGCCATCCCCTTCTCCTTCTCCTTCCCCCTCAGCATGCATCCCCTAACCTCTTAGGGGCCCCATGAGACTCGCAACCAAGGGAGCAACAGGCAGCGGGGATGATGCTCAACCGACTGAGCGACACTGGCCAGAGCCATCACCACATCCCTTTCTAACCCAGCCAGGAAGTGTTCCCCAATTTTAAGGACTAGTGTTAAGGATTAGATTTTGCTCATTCAGATAATCCGGGATAGTCTCCCCATCTCAAAGTCCACACCGGTGATGTTATGATTTATAATACATGGAAATATATAGATTTGGTTCTTGGTCCAGGTTCCTGGCACAGAGTTCCTAGCACCCTCAGAATTTCCCAATGAGAAGAGAGATAAAGGCATCTTTGTCATGTTAATGAAGTGGATTTTGCCCCTAGGACCTAGGCCAGTGATGGCCTTTTGAGTTCGGTGTGTCAGCATTTTGAAAAACCCTAACTTAACTCTGGTGCTGTGTCACATATAGAAATTTTTTGATATTTGCAACCATAGTAAAGCAAAGATTTATATTTTTTATATTTATTTTATACTAGAGACTCAGTGCATGAAATTCATGCATGGTTAGGGTCCCTAGGCCTGGCCGGCAATCAGGGCCGATTGGTGCCTTCTGGCTGCCAGCCGGGGCCTTCCTTCATTCCATGCCGCCCCCTGGTGGTCAGCACATGTCATAGCAAGTGATCAAACTCTGGGTTAAACTCCCAAGAGGGCACTTGGCATATTAGCCTTTTATATATATAGATATTTAAATGCCATTTAACAAAGAAAAATCAACCAAAAAAATGAGTTTGGGTGTCACCTCTGACATGCATGTCATAGGTTCGCCATCACTGGTCCTAGGGGCCTAGGTCACCTGAGGATGGGGAAAGGACAACCAATCAAGTGAGTACTGAGTTGGAATTTTCCTCTGGGAGGAGAGAGGGGCTAGGGATTGAGTTCAATCATCAATGACCAATAATGTAATCAATAATTCCTTCAGGAAAACCCAAAAGAATGGGGTTCTGGGAGCATCCGGTTGGTGAACACATAGAGATTTGGGGAGAGTGGTGCGCTCAGAGCTGGGAAGCTCCTCGTCCCTTTGTTAGGGTCAAAAAATAGAATACTGGGGACTCACTATAATTGTAAGAAATATACACCATGCTCTGGTGTCTGTGATAATTCTGATCAGAGGAAGCACAGTCTCACCTGGCTGAGAGTTGTGCGCCCTGGGACAGGGGAGCTCACATCGGAATGCAGTCCAGCCTCCTTTCCCGAGAACCGCCTCTCGTTATGGAAAGATTTACAACCCCGTGGCTGAGACAATCTAGTCCCGGAGATAACTCCTCTTTACAACGCCAGCCTGCCAGCCCCTATTGTCTGTAATCTAGTCCGGGGTGCCTGGAGGTGCCCGCCCTCTGCAACCCCTCCCCGCAGCCTGCATGACTTGTGACCTGTAATGGCTGTACCCTGACTACTTTCCCAGGCCTGTAATCCCTACTCTCTCATGTCATCTTTGTCTTCTACCCGATATTAGGAGTTGGCTTCTGGAGAGAGGCAGAGCGGATTTTTGTGGCTGACCTGCTGCTCCCCCACGCTGCCGGCAGTAATGGAATAAACGCTCATATATGCTTCAACCCTGTCTCTGCTTAACTGGCTCAAGTAGTGACAGGCAGCCCGGACCCCTGGGTTGTCAGGCTTCATCTTCCCACATACCTTGCCGAGGCATCTCTTTCATCTGGCTGGTCCTGAGTTGTATTCTCTGTCAAATCAAATCAGGAGGCTTTGGCTAGAAACGAATGACAAAGATTTTTTCCCCCAAGGGATTTGCAAATAGGAAATACAGCGTGGTCATGCCCAGTGTGTTCCAAAGAAGCAGTTCTGCCTGCTTAGCCTCTGGGTGGGTGTGAGAGGCTGATCTGCCAGAAGTCTGTGGTCTTTCTAGATAATAGATGTGGATGATCAGATTACCTGTGAGGTCCATAATCCGATCATAAATTCCTAACCGGGCAGGTCATGGTGAGTAGTCAAGCCCTAGGCCTATAACTTTTTAGTAAAAGGTTTATCTTGCCAGAAGCGATCCCATGTGTCCATTGTTTCTGTGCATCTAGATGAACTCAACTTTGAAATAAACCGCAAGCACCCTTAAACCCGACTGGTGTGGCTCAGTGGTTGAGCATTGACCTATGAACCAGAAGATCATGGTTTGATTCCTGGTTGGGACACGTGCAATGCCCCGGTTGCAGGCTCCGTCCCCAGTGTGGGGTGTGCAGGAGGCAGCCGATCAGTGATTCTCTCTCATCATCGATGTTTCTCTCTCTCCCTCTCTCTCTGAAATTAAAAAGAAGAGAGAAAGATAAAGAAAAGAGAGAGCACAGCTTCTGGCTAACTATCCCGAAACCCACTCCCCACCCTGCTCTCTTCAACCTTCATGTATTCTTCCTTACGTTCCCTTCTTAATTCCAAATGCATATAAGAAATTGCAAAACTGTTGTTCTCCGGAGCATTCGAGACCTTGCGCCCACGCATCTGTTGTCGGTTTGCCTCAAATAAACCCTTACAACAATCCTCTACAGGTTTGGACATTTCTTACGCCAACATGGATGTCTGGTGGTGTGGACAAGAGAACATTCTTTCCTGATTCTTCCGAAGGTTGTCTATAGGATTTATGTCTCTCTCCAGGCATTGATGCACAGCTGAGAAGTTCAAAAGTTTAAGTCCTCAGGCTCATTAAAGTACAATTAAATCTATTCCTCGTGCTTCAGCCCTTTTGGTTTTGTGAACTTGACTATACAGATTCCATTTTCAGTCAGCTTAGCTGTACTGACTTGGTCTTGTTTTATTACTCACTCCTCACCTTTAATAATAAATTGGCGACCTAAGAAGTAACATGTTTCTCTGAACCCTGTGAGCTGCTCTAGCAAATTAATTGAACCCAAGGAAAGGGTTGTGGGAACCTCTAATATATAGAAGCTCAATGACAACCTGGAATATATATATTGATTTCAGAGAGGAAGGAAGAGGGAGAGAGAGATAGAAACATCAATGATGAGAGAGAATCATGGATCGGCTGCCTCCTGCATGCCCCCTAGTGGGGATCAAGCCTGTGACCCAGTGGGGGTGGGGGTAGTAGTCTTGTAGGAGAGCCCATAACCTGTGGGGTCTGACACTATCTCCAGGTAGACAGTGTCTGAACTGAGTTAATTGCTTGGTTGAGTGGGGGAAAACACACCTTCGATGTCAGAATCAAAATACAGTACAGTGGGGCCTTGACTTACGAGTTTAATTCGTTCCGTGCCGGAGCTCGTAACTCAAATTACTCGTATGTCAAATCATAAAGTGAACGAGTGAGACAGGTGATGCTGGGCTGATGTTGTGGCGGTCACTGTGACGTTTGCTGTGCCAACTAGCGGTGGGGTATCTGAAGCTGGCTTGTAACCCGAATTTTAGCTCGCAACTCAAAGCAAAAAATTGGCCGAGAGAGAGAGACGGCTCATATCTTAAAAAACTCGTTAGTCGGGACACTCGAAAGTCAAGGCCCCACTGTACTCTAATTTTTTTTAAAGTTGGTTTTAGAGAGATAGAGGAAGGGAGGGGGAAGAGAGAGAGATATCAGTGGGCTGCCTCCTGCATGCCCCCTGCTGGGGTTCGAGCCTGCAACCGGACAAGTGCCCTGACCCCTGACAGAGAATCCAACCCGTGACCTTTGGTGCATGGGATGATGCTTAACCACTGACCCCAGCATAGTTACTTCTTACTCATAGTAGTAATACTGTTCCCATTTAATGAAACAATATCAATTTTCTTCGTTAAGTATTTTTCTTTTTCAGTTGATTGGACTTATTTTTAAAAAAATATATTTTATTGATTTCTTTACAGAGAGGAAGGGAGAGGGATAGAGAGATAGAAACATCAATGATGAGAGAGAATCATGGATCGGCTGCCTCCTGCACACCCCCCACTGGGAATGTGCCTGCAACCAAGGTACATGCCCTTGACTGGAATCGAACCTGGGACCCTTCAGTCCTCAGGCTAACGCTCTATCCATTGAGCCAAACCGGCCAGGGCATAGAGGATGCTGTAGACTATGTCCTCCCCAAATTCATATTTTGAAACCTGACCCCCAGTGTGATGACATTAGGAGGTGTGTGTGTGTGGGGGGGTCTTTAGGAGGTGATTAGATCATGAGGTGGGAGCCTTATAACAGAGACCCCCAAAGAACCCCCTTGTCCCAGAAAAAAAGACAGCTTCTACGAACCAGTAAGCAGGCCTTCACCAGAAGCCAAATCTGCAGACGCCTTGACCGTGGACTTCCCAACACCCAGAACCATGAGGAAAAAAAAATGCTTTTTGTTTAGGTCACCCAGACGAAGGGCATGTTACCGACATAGCATCCCATAAACGCTCAGGTAGAAAAAAACACAACGCAACCAAACTGGTGGTAAGGACTGAGGCTTGGGAACTGAGGCCTGGACGAGAAGGTTCTAAGGCCTGTCCCAAGACAGGAAGCCGCTGAAGGCTGAAGGTGGAAGAAATGGTGTCTGTTTGGTAGAAGGCCTGCCTCCCGAAGACCCAACAACAACCTTGTTGACGTAACCCTGTGGATCAAAGTAATCCCTCGCTGCCCCAGGCCAGTTCCTGTGGTTCCCTGGAGGACAGGACACCATTCAGCGGATCCGGATCCGGTAACTAAAAAAGGTCTGGTCCTTGGATGGGGAACTACATCCGGGAAGAGGCTGCCAAAAACGGTTCCTCCTGTGGCTGCTCACCGACCAGGCTAGACCAGGTGCCATGGCAGCAGCAGTGGCCTCATTAGAAGACCCCTTGGACCGGAGAGCCAGCGCCCAAATCATGGGCCCTGAGACAGAGCTGGACGCCAGTTCAGGTAGGAGGTGGCAGGGGCTGCCTCAGCCCCGAAGGTGCTGGGAGGAGAGGGGCAGAGCCCTGCTGAGGGTGCTGGGAGGAGAGGGGCAGAGCCCTGCTGAGGGTGCTGGGAGGAGAGGGGCAGAGCCCTGCTGAGGGTGCTGGGAGGTGAGGGGCAGAGCCCTGCTGAGGGTGCTGGGAGGTGAGGGGCAGAGCCCTGCTGAGGGTGCTGGGAGGAGAGGGGCAGAGCCCTGCTGAGGGTGCTGGGAGGTGAGGGGCAGAGCCCTGCTGAGGGTGCTGGGAGGTGAGGGGCAGAGCCCTGCTGAGGGTGCTGGGAGGTGAGGGGCAGAGCCCTGCTGAGGGTGCTGGGAGGAGAGGGGCAGAGCCCTGCTGAGGGTGCTGGGAGGAGAGGGGCAGAGCCCTGCTGAGGGTGCTGGGAGGAGAGGGGCAGAGCCCTGCTGAGGGTGCTGGGAGGTGAGGGGCAGAACCCTGCTGAGGGTGCTGGGAGGTGAGGGGCAGAGCCCTGCTGAGGGTGCTGGGAGGTGAGGGGCAGAACCCTGCTGAGGGTGCTGGGAGGTGAGGGCAGAGCACAGCTGAGGGTGCTGGGAGGTGAGGGGCAGAGCCCTGCTGAGGGTGCTGGGAGGTGAGGGCAGAGCACAGCTACCCTCCCTTTGGGCGGCCAGGGTTTGCAAGCCCGGGATGGACTTCACGTTTGTTTCTTGTATCAACCAGCCTAGCAGAACAGAAGCTTCCTGTTAGCCTGTGTTGTGGTGACGCGCACACAGTGCGGAGAATGGATTGTTTATTATTAGGGTAACTCGAAACATCACTTTTTGAAGAGCCCCGGCTTTCGCTTCAGAGACACCGGCTCTTGCACTTGCTTCATTGATACGCGGACGGATTGGTTGACAGCTGCTTCTCCCTGTGCTGGGCTCTGTGTTGGGAGGGAAGCACAGAGCAGGAATCCTCGGGGCAAAGGGGACCAGGCACTAAAGGAGTTCTCTGAGGTTCTGGTCTGATGTGGGGAGGGGGAGGACCGCATGGTGCTCCCTGAGGGTCTCAGGCCCCACCCCCGACCCACCCTTCCAGAATCTGCGTGTGAACAAGATGCCGGGCCATCTGTGTGCACAGTAAAGACGGGAAGCTCCCAGGAAGTGGTCCCTGCTTCTGGGAGGCAGCTGGCTGAGCAGGGGAAGCAGGATGTAAAGTCAGGTCGCTCTGAGGCTGAAGTCCAGGCCCTTAGACCCCACTCTTTCCATGTACGTGTGTCAGTGCCTGTGGGATAAATGAACACGTGGTTCAACAGATGAATGAACAGAGCCACATCTCTGTGCTAACACAACCTTTGGTCTTTGCCTGCCTTCTAGGTGGGAAGCCAGCCCACCAGCAGAAGGCCGTGCCCGCAGCTCACCTAACTTTCGTCATCGACTGTGCTAGTGGAAAGCAGCTCTCCCTGGCAGCACTCCTTGTGCCACCCCAAGGCCCCAGTCCTTACCTAGGACCTGTCACCCCTCCAATGAAGACCTATATCTTGTTCTGTGGGGACAGCCAGCCCCATCTGACTCAGGAGGCCATCCTGGGTGGGGGGCACATAGCCCAGGCCAGGGGCACCCTGCCACCCTGCAGAGGGACTGTGGCCCCAGCTTCCTCCCCACTCAGCCCGCTATGCCCCCAGGGGGCCCCTGAGGCCAAGGGGAGCCCCTTAAAGACAATGCTTACAAGGTATTTGGCTTGGGAAACAGTCATGGGCTTGCTCAAAGCCTTCTCCTCCTGTGTCTGTGGGCAGGCAGATTAACTGGAACAGCCTGACCATGGCAGGAGGGGGTTGGCCCCTCAGTAGATGAGGGGATAAAAAAAACAAAACACTGTGGTACATTTGCACCATGGAATGCTATGCAGCAGTAAAAAAAGGAGGATCTCGTGCCCTTTGAGACAGAATGGAGGGGCCTGGGGAGTATTACGCTAAGCGAGATAAGCCAGCCAGAGAAAGACAAGTATCACATGATCTCACTCAGATGTGGACTCTAATGAACAAAATAAACTGATGAACAAAACAGATCCAGAGACGTAGAAGCATGGAAGGGACTGCGAAATTTCAGAGGGAAGGCAGGGCTGGGTAGGTGGATGGGAAGAGATCAACTAAAGAACTTGTATGTATATGTATAACCTTCGGACACAGACAATAGGGTGGTGAAAGCCTGGGGCGGGGGACTGGGTCAGTGGGGGAGCGAGGGGGACATATGTAATACTTTCAACATTAAAGATGTAATTAAAAAATAAACAAAAAGCGAGAAGGAGCGAGCACTGGGAGCCACCCTCCCAGGGCCACCGGGCCGGCGTCTTACCCCAGGGCAGACCAGAAAGGCGTCAGGACGCCCCAGCGCACACGCTGGCCGCTGTCGTCTTGGCTCGCGTACAAGTGTGTGGGTCACCCAAGGGCAGGAGACCCAGCAGAACTAAGGTGGGACCTGGCAACCCGAGTGAATAAAGGGCACAGAGGGAGCGGAAGTGTGCAAAAGGGAGGGGAGTATCATATTTGAACAAATAAAGTAAGATATTACTTATTTGTTTGTTTTAAAAATATACTTTATTGATTTTTTTTACAGAGAAGGGAGAGGGATAGAGAGTTAGAAACATCGGCGAGAGAGAAACATCGATCAGCTGCCACCTGCACACCCCCTACTGGGGATGTGCCTGCAACCAAGGTACATGCCCTTGACCGGAATTGAACCTGGGACCCTTCAATCTGCAGGCTGATGCTCTATCCACTGAGCCAAACTGGTTAAGGCAAGATATTTTTTTTAAAATATATTTTATTGATTTTTTACAGAGAGAAAGGGAGAGAGATAGAGAGTTAGAAACATCGACGAGAGAGAAACATCGATCAGCTGCCCCCTGCACATCTCCCACTGGGGATGTGCCCGCAACCCAGGTACATGCCCTTGACCGGAATCAAACCTGGGACCTCTCAGTCCGCAGGCCGACGCTCTATCCACTGAGCCAAACCGGTTTCGGCAAGGCAAGATATTATTTATTGAGCATCTACTGCATACCAGGTTCATGCTGTCCCCCTAGAGACACACAAAAAAGGGGGGGGCTTGTGCTCCATAGGGCAGTCAGGTTCCCCAGCAGGAAGTGTAGTGTGGTCACTGGTGTGTGTGAGGGTATATGTAGGTCTAAGAGGAAGTGTCTCAAGGCTCTCAGATTAAAATGGCTGAATGTTCATTTATTTATTTATTGACGGTTTTTACCAGGTTCCTACAAACATTAGTAGATAACATGTATTGACCATTTGCTCTGTGCCAGGGAAACAACATCCTCGTTGTGCCAGTATGGGGATGCACTATTTTCGTACCCGTTTCACAGATTAGGGAACTGAGGCACAGAAAGGTTGAGAGACCCACTCAAGTCCCCATGGACTAGTATAGCTGGGATGAGAACCTGTGTTTCTCTCTCTCTCCCTCTCCCTTCCTCTGTCTCTAGAATCAATAATTAATAATAATAATAACCCCCAAATTATACCAATTAAAAAAGAGAAAGCCTGGTGCTCAGGTTCTTGCTCCTAACCAGAGGGTCAAGGGCCTCTCATCCTAGCAAGGTCTCTTAGGCAGAGGGGATTCAGAGAGAACAGACTTAACCCTGTCTTGGAGCTCACAGCCTGGTGGGGAAGTCAAGAAAGGTGACTATTAATTGCCACAGCTTCTGATAAATGCAACAATAGGGCACACAGAATGCTGTTGGGGCTGGAGGAGGGTGTCCAGCTCACTTTGGGAGAGGAAATCAGGGAAGGCTTCCTGCAGGAAGTAACATCTAAGCTAAAATCTGACCAGTGAGTGAAACATACAAAGGCAAGGAGGCAGGGGTGGGGAGTGTTCCAGGAAGAATGACCTGGAACATACAATCAGTCTGGTTGGGGTATTCATTCATTCATTCACCAAGTATTTATTGGGCATCTACTGGGTGCCAGGCTCTCTGCTAGGAGCTGGGACGGAGCAGTGACAAAACAGATGGGGCCCCACCACAGAGGTGCTCCTTCTCCAGCAAAGCCCACACACGAAACGGGCAGAGAGGCCAGAGAAGTGGCAGGGGCCACATTATGTGGGGCCTTGCAGGTCACAGTGAGGTCTTTCGATTTTATTCTGAGATGGGACCACTGGAAATTGTGAGCAGAGTGACATGACCAGACCTACCTTTTAAAAAATGTCCTCTAGCCCCACCAGTGTGGCTCAGTGGTTTAGCACCGACCCAGGAACCAAGAGGTCGCTGGTTCGATTACCTGTCAGGGCACATGCCCTGGTGGCAGGCTTGATCCCCAGTATCATGCAGGAGGCAGCCAATCTATGATGTTCCTCTTTCATCGATGTCTCTATCCCTTTCCCCTTCCTCTGTTTCTAAAAATCAAAACATAGCTTAAAAATAAATAAATAAATAAAAATTTCCTCTAGTTCTTGTACTGGGATCAGAAGCTTGAGGAAGCTGCCCCTTAATTCAGGCAAGGAGGGGATGGTTTGACCTAGAGAGGTGGTGACAGAATAATCTGGACAACATAGGTCCCTTCCTCTCTCTCCTCCTCGCTAAGAACCAGTGGGCTAAAATAAAAGAAAACAAAGCAAAACAAAAACAACAAAAAAGCATCACTGGGCTAGAAGACCCCAGAGACAACTGACCAAGGGAATTTGAGGAAAAGCGTGAAGCCTTTGGCTGCACATCTACCTTTTCACCAGCAGGTGTCGCCCTATCATCAGCCTGGAGGGCACCTGGCCTGCCTGGCTGGGGAAGGTGGGAAGTGCTAGGCAGGGAGCCAGAGCCCCCGGGTCAGGGGCTCAGCGGGGGGTCCATGTATTCGGAAGCCAGACTTTCATTCTAACCAATACCCCTTTCATCTGCAATAGTGGCTACTGATGTTTTTAGGTGCACCACCTACCTCAGGTTCCTTTCACACCAGACCTGTGAGGTGGGTGCAATTTTTATTGCCATTCTACAGATGAGGAAACTGAGGCCCAGAGAGAGGAAGTGATGCGCCCGAGGTCACCGACTCAGACAGAGGCAGAGCCCAAATCCAAACCCCAGGCAGCGTGACTACACACCTGTTGTCACGGCATCGTGACCCCATGCTATGCTGCAGGCACTCCGTCCACATTTGTTGAATGAGCGAATGAAGGAAGAATGAAGAATTTCCAAGGACCCAGCCCAGGGCCTGGCAGCATGTAGGGAGTGTCTGAGAGGCTGAACAGGTGAATGGGGCCCTCACTGAGATGGGGCACTTGCAGTTAGTCTCTTCATCACAGTCCTATGAGGTGCTATTCCATTTTACAGATGAGGAAACTGAGGCTCTGGTAGGTTAAGCAGCTGGTCACACAGCTAGTAAGTGGCAGAGCCAGGCTAGAAATGGAAGTAATTTGGACCTCAGAGCTTTAACAACAGACCATACTGTATGGACTTACCGAAAACCTGTTGAGGGAATGAACCAATGAATAAATGATAGACTTTAACCCTGCCGGTGTGGCTCAGTGGTTGAGTATTGACCTATGAACCAGGAGGTCACAGTTTGGTTCCCCATCAGGGCACGTGCCCAGGTTTGGGGCTCAATCCCCAATGTGGGGCGTGCAGGAGGCAGCTGGTCGGTGATTCTCTCTCATCATTGATGTTTTTATCTCTCTTTCCCTTTCTCTCTGAAATCATAAAAATATATTTTAAAAAAATAATAATAAATGATAGGCTTTATTGAACCCGTGAGTGAAAGGGTGAATAAGTGAATGTGTCCCTAGATTGGCATCCATGCTTAATTCAGGACCATGTCCCGTCAAAAATAAATAAATGAGGACATTTTATGTATGTATGTATGTAGAGAATGTTTATAAGGGTTTATTTGAGCCAAACTGATGGCATTGTCGAGAAGCAAGATCTCAAATGCTCCAATGAGATAATTTATTTTTAAAAGTATGTTTTTACTGATTTTATGGAGAGGGGGAGAGAGATAGAAACATTGATGAAAGAGAACAATTGATTGGCTGCCTCCTACATGCCCCCTACTAGGGATCAAACCTGAAACCTGGACATGTGCCCTGACCTGGAATCGAAATAAATACCTGTTGCCTCTCACTTCGAAAGGCCTTTTTAGTTTTAAATTAGCAGTCCACAGTGCCTTAATGTGCCTGGGGCACTAGATGGTCAAGAATTGTTCGAGAAGGGAGGAAGGGAGGAAATGCAGGCCTACCTCTCCTCTCTGTCTCCCTGGGGCCAGCAGCCCTGCTTTTTGTCCTTCAGGGAGGCACCCAGAGGGCCCCCTCCCAGTCTAGTAGCCCCCAGGCTCTTCTGGAGGTTGTGCCTGGATGCAGGCCCTGGGGGACCGGCCTGGCTGGTGCTGGCAGTGAGCCCCAGGCCAGCTGTGCTGACAGTAAACAGCCCCCCACCCCTGCCCAGAGGCCCTGGCCTTGCTCCCCCATCCAGCCGGCTGACACCCAGCCCCTCAGGACCCTGCCGTGTCTGAGGGCAGAGCCAGTGTGGGTAGACTCTTTGATGTCCTTGTTCAGAAAACAACAATTTTAACAAGAGCTTAGCATTTATTGAGCTTATACTAAAACATCACCTCTCTCAGCTTCCTCACAGCTGCCCTGGGAGGTGCCATCTGATCTTTGTTTATGGCTGAGGGGACTAAGTCTTCGGAGGTTCCCTTCCCACCTCCACCCCTGGCCCCCCCCCCCCCCCCCCCCCCCCAGGCTCTACTGGGGGCCAGGGAACATTTTAGCTCTGCCCTCACCTGCTTTTCCTGGAGAGAAGACCCAGGTACTAGGG